TGCAAATAAATAAAAAAAATAAATAAATAAAATAAAAATAAAAAATAAAAGAAAATCTTTAAAACAAACAAAAGACTCAGCCAAGAGGGAAGACGGGGCCAAGGCTGGGAGGCGAGAGGTCCGGGGAATGACAGCAGCTTCCCAGTAGGGTACCCATTGGCCGTGTGTGGCCTTTATGTTTAAATCCATGAAAATGAAACAGAATTAAAAATTCGGTTCCACAGTGCTCAAAAGCGTCAGACAGCACATGGGCAAGTGTATAGAGCATTCTCATCCTCTTGGAAAGTCTGCCGGCCAGCGCTTGTGGAGACCCCAGGATGCTCACTGGCCATAGCTCTAGAAACGTGGCTAGGGCCCCTAAGGAAAGGAATGTCAAATTTTGTTTAATTTTAACTCGTTAAAATTAAAATTGAAAAATGGATCTTTAATTCTGTCATTGGAAAGCTTTTAACCATATTTGGAACAAGTTGGGTATGTGAATCCACTTTTCGAACTGTACATTTTATAAAATCTAGACACAGAGCAAGTTGAAATGCGCTCTAAGAGGAAAATACACACACCAGATGGTGAAGATGTAGTATGAGGAAACAAAGGTAAACCGTCTCAATAAACTTTATGTTGATTATATGTTGGGATGATAATATTTTGAATATATTGCACTAAGAGAAGGTATTATTAAAATAATCTGGCCTGTTTCTTTTCATTTTTAAATGTGGCCGTTGGAAAATCATCAATTACTTTTTTTTTAAAGATTTTATTTATTTATTTGACAGAGAAAGAGAGAGAGAGCACAAGCAGGGGATGCAGCAGGCAGAGGGAGAAGCAGGCCTCCTGCTGAGCAGGGAGCCCGATGCGGGACTCGATCCCAGGACCCTGGGATCATGACCGGAGCCGAAGGCAGACGCTTAACCGACTGAGCCACCCAGGTGCTGCAGAAAATTATCAATTACTTACATGGCTCAAATGTATTTCTATGGGACAAAGTGAGACTGAGGTTTAGAGAGCTGGGCAGTGAGCTGAGAGGTCTGTAGTGGGTGTGGAGGTCTTGATGGCTCAACACGGAGTTTGTACTTCTTCCTGGGTAACGGGGAGCCACAGCAGGTGTTTGAGCAGGGCAGTGATGCCTCTGAAGGATCTGTCTGGCCGCCTGGGGGAGAATGGGGGAGCAGGACACCAGTTGGAAAGCCATTGTTATCAAGCTCATCAGACAGGATAGTGGCTTAGATCGGAACGGAGAGGTGTTGCCTGTGTCCCTTTTAAGGGGACTTTCCAGATGTTTCACCCCAAACTTCTGCTTTTCTCTTGTCAGCCACCCGCAGCTGTAGGGGCACTGGAAAATGTAAGTGTTTTGTTGGGCTCATGGCGGTCCACAAAAAAATGGGATTCCTACCCCTCCCCCATCCTGAGGAAAATGAAAAGAAGAGAGGCTGGGTGGGCAAATAGCCACTTCCACTGGGAGAAAGTCAAGGAAAGAGAGTCAGAAGGCCCTGCCAGCAGGGTGGGAGGGAACCAAGGAGAACAGTGTCTGTGGGTTTCTGGGAAGTGGGCCTGAAAGAGGACGTCACCCACCTTCATTTTGGCCTCAGACTTTCTCATTGACAAGTGTTTCTTTCCAGTTTATCTCTTAATTCAGGCAAAAGACCCTGTGGGCAAAGCATCCCGGGAGGGGAACAAAAGTACCCCCCTCAAGCAGTGACCCCAAGACAGGGATTGACCTGATCTTCGCTGCCCACCTGCGCATACTCACCGACCTCTGTCTGCATTTTCCTTCTATAAACCGGGAAGCATTTTCAGCCCTTTGGCACAGTCTTTGAGACACTAGTCCACTGTCGTCCCGGTGTTGACCTCGCTCAAATAAACCTCTTTCTCGCTCCAATGCCACTCATCTCCCTGCCTTTGGATTTTGTCAGCCGAACTTGGTCTGTTGCTGCTGCCCGGGACCCAACACCTCTGAGCACCCAGCAAGATGAGGGCTGACAACTGCAGGAATAGCACCCGGCTCCCACGAGGTGCCGGACAAATATTTGTCCACTGATGTCCGCTTAGCCACGTGAGCATCACTGATAACCTTGGGAAGAGCAGTTTAGAGGAGATGCGGGCAGGCAGAGGAATGAGAGGGAGGTGAGGCTGGAGTGGGCATGATTTTTCCAGAAGTTTGGCTTGGGGGTGGGGTGGGGACAGAGCCGCAGAGAGAGGCAGGTGGAAGGGGGTGGGGTGGAGGGAGGCACCGTGGCCTGCTCGGCTCTGAATCAGAGGACCCGGCATTCTTATTATTTTTATCCCCATGCAGATGAGCAAGCTAAGGCTCCAAGAGGTGGGCTGACCGCCCCAGGTCTCCAGAGGGGACTGAGATTTGGGCCCGCCCCGCCCTGCGCCACCCCTGCCCTCTCCCACTCCTTCCCAGCATCCAATTTTTCTTTAATGAGCTGGCTCTTTGATAATCACAGTGGGCCTTTTATGAACTAAACAAACCGAAGCTGCAGGGTATTTTTTTTTTTTTTAACAAAAGAGCTCATTGAATAAGCAATGGGTTTCTCTGCAACTATTTTTAAAGATGGAGCTGCAGGCGAGGCTGTGAGGAAAATCACAGAGAGCAATCTTCTGAAGGTCACCCGGCACTTAGGAAAAATCCAGAGCTGGGGGTGCACCTCACACCACCCCCCCAGCTGGGCCCTAGAGGAGGGGGAGGTCTTGGGTGAGAATCCTGGAACCTAGCTCCATCCCGCCCCAGGGGCAGCCAGGAAGGCACTGGCCCAGCGTGGCCCTCCATCCTCCGCAGTGTCCCCAGTTCGCTCCCTTGGACCAAAGGATTCTGCATTTTTAAAAAATATTTTATTTATTTATTTATTTGAGAGAGAGCAAGGAAAGGAGCAGAGGGAGAGGAAACAAGCAGACTCCTCACTGAGCGCAGAGCCCAACGCGGGGCTTGATTCCACGACCCTGACATCATGACCTGAGCTGAAATCAAGAGTCAGACATTTAACCCACTGATCCACCCAGGCGCCCCAGAATTTTGCTTTCCAAAACGAGATGCCACAACTGCCCCCCCCCCCCCCCCGCCCCCGTGCCTCCACCATTCCTTCCCCCTCTGGTTCCTGCCTCTGGCGCCCAGAGACCACGACTGTATCAATCCACTCCACCCCCTGGACCCCCCGCATAGACACAGCTCCCTCTATTTAGGGCATATTCACTGCATACACTCGTGTACCCTGTTCCACGCTGGGAACCAAGCCCTCAGGCCTGGTCCCTGCTCTCAAGGAGCTTCAAGGTGGGACCGACGTTTCTGGGGCTAAAGCTTTCACACGCATCCCCACACCTAATTCCCAACCACTTCCAAGGCATCCTGTCAGAGAAACTGAGGCTCAGAGAAGTCAGTGGCTCAACCGCAGGGCTCTTTCTGTGTCCACGGTTCCAGCCTTCCTTATACACTGTAGGGAGCACCCTGGGAGCCCAGCAGGGGCGGGGCGTGGAAACCGAAGAGCCAGGAGGTCAAATTCCAGCTGCGCCACCCCTCCCCCAGCTCCGAGACCTTGGGCGAGCTGCTCAGGCCAGAGAAAGCACTGAACAAGTAATCTGTGTTTTGTTTCTTGTTGCGTTTTCCCCTTCCACGTTCCGAGAAGACAGCAGGCCTCGGTGTCCCTCTGCCTCCAGGTCTTTGTATCAGACAATGGCCGCTTCCTGGCTTTTGTGGTGAATGCCGAACTGGGGGGGTTTGCCCCCAGGCCCAGCCGTTGGGGAGACGGGCCTGAGCCCAGAGGGAAGCATCCATTCCTTAGTAAGAATGACTGAGCCCAGCTGTGTTCCTAGGAATCCTGGCGTTGGCTTGTTCGGACACGAAAGCACTTCCCCCAACATCCGGTGAGTCCCTGTGTAGAACCTAAGGCAGGTGGGCATCGGTGGCTCAGGCCCCCGGCGACTTGCTGACTTGAGTCATCAGCGACCATCTTCATGTTGCTCCCTCCAGAGTGTCAAATAAAAACAAATCCAGACTTGGTAAGAGCGATTTTACGCATAAGGATTGTTGCAAGGGGGTGGGGGAAGAACTCTTGCAAGAGTGAGAAGGCTCTGACCACCGGGTCTGCAGGAGTCGGGAGAGAGGCGAGAGTTTCTCTGCTCCAGAAAGGAGCGAACAAAGGCAGAAGGAATCCGGCGTGGGCAAGTGGGATAGAAGATCAGAGAATGTCTAACCCTGTTCCAGGGCTATTCCGGGAGGGGCTGTCTGCTGGCTCAGGCTGAGGACTGAAGTTCAAGGGCCCGGAGGAAGGAGAGACGTTTAACCAATATCTGGTTAACAAGCACTTTGCTCCGATTGACCAGTGGGGACAAGCAGTTCAGGTAATCATGTATGGGTCCATGAAGGGGATTTTGAGGGTCTGTGTCTGTCCTTGTCAGAGGTAAACAAGGGGGGTGGGGAGCATCCATCAGTCTCGTCTAAGTCATGTGGAGAAAGCTGGTTCTTTGCAAGTCATTTTCCAAAACACAAAGGGGGTGGGGTTCCTGTAAGTCCTGCTGCTTTCCAGAAGCTCAGGGCTGAGGGAAAAATCAACATGGTCAAGAGTGAGAACGCTGTACTCATTAGCCGATTGAGTCTGAAGATAGCGAGAATGTTCTTTGTATCCATAGTGAACTACGGGAATAAAGAGATCGTGGGCAATAATCTTTGTCCTAGTTGTTAAAATCTGGGAGAAGTGGGTATGTGGCCCTGGGAGTAGCTGATGGGGTTGCTTGTAATATATGCTGGGGTCTCTGCCCCCTTGAGCTCAGAGTCCTAGAGTATCTCCCTGGGAGACCTGAGCGGGGGTGGATGGGGTGGGGGTGGGGGAAACCTCGTGGTTTTCTGCCAGAAGAGCCACAGGCAGTCACCAGAACTCTCGTCACTGTGGTCTGGGCTGGAGTTGGGAAACTCAGCCTCTTGTGGACCAGGCCCCGTGCCGGTCGCCGGACAGATTTCAGTCATGCTCCCCAGGCAGGCGTGAAAGAGAGGCATGGGGACAGCAGGAAACACAGCCCCTGACACTTGGTGGCTGTTTCTGCGGTTCTTGACTCAGTGTTGGTCATCCCAGGGATAGGAAGCCCCAAGAGGCCGGGCCTTGCTGGTTCATGGCTGCATTCCGAGCACTTGGCACGGTGGATGCTGGCCCAATGAATGAAGGGGGAGCCTTGACAGCAGTGGGGGTGTGGTTAGACCGCATGCATCGTGGTGAAAGGGGGAATGTTATCGTGAATAAGGCGGGAAAGCCAGGCAGGAGGAGCGTGAATGCCAAACTAAGAGTTCAGACTTGGTGCTAAAGGTGATGGGGGGATGGGGGGCCTTTGAGGATTTTGAGCTGGAGAGTGAGCAGGTCCAACCTCCATTTGTGGTTTGTCTTTGAAAGAAGATGCCATACCCGTCCATTCTCCTCCGGGACCAGGCTAGGTGTGGCCCGGCGCCCAAACAGTCTTGAGGAACTGAGGGGGGAGGGGATGGGGGTGCAGAAACCACAGCCAGAGTGGGAGCCACCCTCCGAGAGGGAGGCCTGGCTTTCCTTTCCTCGCTCTGTGGCTTGCTCCCTCTCAGAAGAGCTTATGGCACCCCCTGCTGCCTGTTCCTAGGCGCACACGGGAAATTGGGGGGAACAAAATGAGAAGGCAGGCAAGGCCCACATCCCCGCCCGCAGGACCTCTGCTCCAAGGGCGGTTTGCCCACCACAGGCTCCAAAATACGAACTCAGCGCAAGACTCTCGTGCCTTTGCAATGTGCCTAGCATGCTCTCCATCACCAGCTCCTGAAGCCAATGTGAGTCTTCACGCTCCTGCTCCTGGGGGTCCACTGAGCTCCTCTTTCACTCTGGAGGCCCTGGGGTCCCCCACACGTGTCACCAAGTCCTGGATAACCCCAGGTTTGGCCTGTGTAGGGGGCTGAACAGTGTCCCCCATCCACGGAAATCATGTCCACTCGGGACTTCAGAATGTGAGCTTGTTGGGAAATAAGGTCTTGGAGGCGTAATTAGTTGAGGAGCTCAAGATGTGCTCTGTGTGCCCCTCACTCCCATGCCCATACCCACACCCACGCATGGACACACGTGCATGCACACCCACGTGCACAGGTGTGGAGACACGAGCTGTCGCAGAGGCACAAGAAATAGATGTGGAAGGAGCTTGCGGTCACAGGGGCGGAAGTCGGGCCTTAGGGGGAACAGCAGCTGTTCAGCGCTGAGGAAAAGAAGCAGGGGGACCCAGTGATTAGCACGCCCTGGATCCCTAAAGTCCTCCCTGTTCTCCCCAGGGCCTGTGTGCAGGGATCCAGCCTGTGGCCCCTGTTCCCACTCCTCCCCCCGCCCCAGTTCTGTTTCCTCCTGAGGGGGGCCTGCTCCTCAGCACCTGGTGGAGGGGACGAAGGTCCCGTGAGCAGATGAGAGACGCTGCCAGGGAGGTAGAGATGGCTTTCTCACCTCTGGGCCTCAGTGTCCCCAACAGAAGGATACCCGCTGAGTGAGGAGTTCGCTTAGCACCCCAGCGAGGGGTGTGTGTGTCTGCCACCCGGATCTGCTCAGAAGCAGGAAAAGATGGTGGGGCCCCCCAGGAGGGTCCTGCAGCAGCTCCCTTCAGTCTCCCCTCACCCTTGTTCCTCCAGAATCTTCCATCTTCCGGCTCCACAACAGACCCAGGCCATGAAGCAGCAAGCTGGGAAAGAAGACCATGTGTCTGGATCCACTGGGGCCCTGGTACGGGGTTTGTCGATGCTGCCAGAATGTTCTCTGAATGAATGCCTGGAAAATGCACCATTCACTCTCTCTTTCTCTTTTTCTAATTGAAAAAAAAGTTGATGAAATTCACATAACATACGACTGACCATCTTAAAGCACACAGTGCAGCAGCCCATTCCGCACCTTGTACAAAGTCCACCTCTCTCTCGTTTCAAAGTGTTTTCATCGGCTCAGAAGAATACCCACTCCCGACTAAGTTACCACTTCCTGTCTGTCCCTCCCAGCCCCCTGGCCACCACCCTGTCTGCTCTCTGTCTATGCACTTGTCTGCTCTGGACGTTCCTATATATGAAATCATATATGTGGCCTTTTGTGTCTGGCTTCTTGCACGGAGCCTCACGCTTTCAAGGTTTGATCCACTTCGTAGCAGCCGTCAGTGCATTATTCTTCTTTAAGCCTGAATAATATTCTAGTGCGGGCATAGACCACAATTTCTTTATTCTTCTGGTGATGGACGCTTGGGCTGTTTCCACCTTTCGGCTATTGCGAATCGTGCCGATGCTGTGAACAATCGCCGCGAGCGAGTTCTCTGAACATCTGTTTCCCGTTCTTTTAGGTGTAGACCCAGGAGTGGAATCCGTGCGTCACATGCTAATTCTGTGTTCAGCTTTTGGAGGGACCGCCAGACCGTTTTCCGTTTTCCATTCTCACCAGCACAGCCTGGCCAATACTTATTATTTTGTTTCTGTTGCGTTGTGTTTGGTTTGGTTTATCATTGCCAACCTAGTAGGCATCAAGTGGTATCTCATTGTGGTTTGATTTGCATTTCCTTGATGACTAATGCTGGTGAGCATCTTTTCATGGGCTTATTGGCCATTTGTAGATCTTCTCTGGAGAAATGTCTGTTCAAGTCCTTTGCTCATTTTTTAATTGGGTTGTTTGTCTTTTTGTTGTTGGGTTGAAAGAGTTCACTCTTTGTACAAATCGTGCAAAACAAAGAAACTAAAGCTCAGACTGTCACTTGCCCATGGTCTCGGAGCCAGACTGCAGCCCACTCCCCGCCCCAGCTGGTTTTTTAACTTGTGGCTGGAGTCGGCGCGTGCTGACCTGTGGACACCTCAGAAAGACCATTAGGGAAGGAAGAGATGATGCAAAACAAAGGGGGGCTCCTCTCTTCCAGAGTCCCAGGAATGCCTTTTGTCCTAGAAGAGGGGCAATGCTCTGGAAGCTGATTCTCAGGCAGGCTGTTACAGTTGTGTGAGTGTGAGCATGCCTCTGTGCGGCGTGTGCCTGTGTTCATGCATGTGCACAGGTGTGTGCGTGTCTGTGGGTGCCAGAGCTGCCTGGACGCGCACCATCTGGGTCCCCTGTGTCCCTTCTGTGGCATCTGCAAGCCACCCCTGCAAGAAGGAGACTGCAGAAGGATGCTGGATGGGGCTGCCACCTGCTGGTCACGCTGGGTGCTGCAGGCAGACGGCCTGCTGGTAGGGGTGGCCCCACCTGGTCTCTGGGGCAGATGCGGGGGGGGGGGTTGGGAGCCTTTAGGGCCCCCGGAAGGATCCTTTCTTCTGCCCCAAAGAAAACAGAGTCCCCCCGCTGTTGCCCCCATGCCCTCTGAGCCTCTCTAAGGAACAGCTACAGGGGCCAGAGAGCTTTCTCGGTACCATGAGCTCCCCTCCGGTTCAATCCAGCCCTTAGAATAGTTTTTAAAAGCACATAGGATCACAAAGGAAACCGATTATACTGAAATACAGTTATCAAAAGAGTGATTGTAGGGCGCCTGGGTGGCTCAGTTGGTTAAGCGACTGCCTTCAGCTCAGGTCATGATCCTGGAGTCCCGGGATCGAGTCCCGCATCGGGCTCCC